AAATTTAATTTAATTCAGCATAAATCTACAAATTTGTGGAATTTTAGACCAAGAAATGACATAAAAGAGTGCCTAAGCTGGGCATGGTGGTGCATGCCTGTAGTCCCAGCTACTTGGGAGGCTGAGGCAGTAGGATTGCTTGAGCCCAGGAGTCGGAGGTTGCTGTGAGCTAGGCTGATGCAATGGCACTCTAGCCCAGGCAACAGTGAGACTGTCAAAAAACAAAAAGGGGGCCTAGTTCAAGTTCTTCACTTTATAAATAAAGGCAGAATGAAAAATATGATGTGATTTGCTTGATGTCATACAGTGAGTTACTAATAAAAATAGGACTTAGAATGGGTGATAACCAGTTTAAAGAATTCAGATCAAAGATGTATTGAATGGGCTGGACGCGGTGGCTCACGCCTGTAATCCTAGCACTCTGGGAAGCTGAGGCGGGCGGATTGCTCGTGGTCAGGAGTTCAAAACCAGCCTGAGCAAGAGCGAGACCCCATCTCTACTATAAATAGAAAGAAATTAATTGGCCAACTAATATATATAGAAAAAATTAGCCGGGCATGGTGGCACATGCCTATAGTCCCAGCTACTCAGGAGGCTAAGGCAGTAGGATTGCTTGAGCCCAGGAGTTTGAGGTTGCTGTGAGCTAGGCTGATGCCATGACACTCACTCTCGCCTGGGCAACAAAGCAACACTCTGTCTGAAAGAAAAAAAAAAGATGTATTAAATGAAAATTACTTCTTTTGGGTGATAGGTGTTTATTTCTTTGTGATTTAGTGTTGTGTTTCCTAATTTTTAAAAGGGTATGTTTTAATCAGTGAAAAATATAAACAGCTTTTACATTTTTCAAATGTAGCTAATTGGCTTATTTATTAGGACAAATCAAACAGATACATAAATGTTGGTAAGCAGTCTCTCAATTCACAAAGTTCATTATGATTATTTGTACCTTTTTTTTTCTTTCTTTTAGAGACAGGGTCTCTGTCACTCAGGCTGTAGTGCAGAGGTTCGATCATAGCTTCCTGTAATCTTTTTTTTTTTAATTTCAAGAAAATATGAGAGTACAAACATTTTGGTTGCATTTTATATCTTTGCCTCTCCCTAGCAAGGGTTAGAAGTATGTCCTTCCCCTCCACAATAGCTTACTGTAATCTTGAACTTCTTGGCTCAAGCGGTCCTCTGGCCTCAGCCTCCCTGGTAGGCTAGGACTACAGGCATGAGCCACCATGCCCAGCTTATTTGTGGACTATTTCTTTATAGGCTTTTAAAAGTCTGCTGCCATCACTAAAATCAGATACTTAAGATTTCTTTTTTAGTTTTTGCTTTTGGGATTTTTGGGTTTTTTTTCCCGAGACAGGGGTCTTGCTCGGTCACCCATGCTAGAGTGCAGTGGCATCATCATAGCTCACTGTAACCTCAAACTTCTGGGCTAAAGTGATACTCCTGCCTCAGTCTCCCGTGTAGCTGAGACTTCTAGCATTCATCACTATACCCAACTAATTTTTCTGTTTTTTGTAGAAATGGGGCTTCGCTATGTTGCCCAGGCTCGTCTCACACTCCTGGCCTCAGGTGTTTCTCCTGCCTTGGCCTCCTGAAGTGCTGGGATTACAGGCATGAGCCACTGTGCCTGACCTGTTTTAACCATTTAAAAGTATACAGTTCAAGTCATTCATGGTGGTGCGATGCCTATAGTCCCAGGATGAGACAGGAGGATCACTTGAACCCATGAGTTTGAAGCCAGCCTGGTCAACATAGTGAGACCCCTCCCTTTTTTTTAAAGTGTACAGTTCAGTGGCATTAAGTACATTAACAATATTGTACAACCATCACCACCACCATCTATTAGGTCGTTAAATATGAAACGTCCAATTTCAAATCAAAAGTTTAGTTTATTACATCTTAAACAGGAAGCAGTACGATTAAAGAATGAGCACATCAAACTGTCAGACTATTGACACAGTTTTGCCATCTTATGCCAGCGGTAAAGAAACCTAGAGAGCAAATGGTGATGAAATTGCAAAAGGTGTTTTCCACAGCTTGTTGAGAATTGAATATTTTTCTTTGCAAGAAGTGGTCCAAAGCCTGGAGGAATTGGTAGTCACCTGGTGCAAGGTCTGGTGAATATGGTGGATGACAGCTTCCAAGTCTAGCCTCCATAGTTTGAGCAGCATTGTTTGTGCTCTATATGGTCCAGCATTGTCTTGCAAGAGGATTGGCCTGTCTCTGTTGCCTAGTTTCGGCTGCTTTATAACAAGCCTCCTCATCATTTCATCCAAGTGATTGCAATAGACATCAGCTGTAATCGCTTGACCAGATTTCATGAAGCTGTAGTGGATGATACCAATGCTGGACCACCAACCAGACACTATTAGCTTTTTTTGATGAATATTTGGTTTTGGACTATGTTTTGGCACTTTATCTTTATCTAACCATTGTGCTGAACACTTGCAATTGTCAAAAAGAATCCACTTTTCATCACACATAACAATACGGTGTAGAAATGGTTTGCCTGTATGTCGTGACAGCAAGGAAAGGCAAGCTTTGAGACTATTTCTCTTCTTATGCTCATTTAATTCATGCGGAACCCATCTATCCATTATCTTTACCTTGCTGATTTGTTTCAAATGGTCCAATTTTGTTGGAATAGTAATGTCAAACCTTGCTGCTAATTCACGCATAGGTAGAGATGGATTCACTTCCACTACAACTTTCAGATCATCATTAACCACCTTGGTGTCAGGTCTCCCATGTGGCTCATTTTCAAGATTAAAATCACCAGAACGAAACTTCTCAAACCATTGATGTACTGTGCGTTCATCAGCCACATCCTTCTCAAACGCTTCGTTGATATGTCCAGCTGTCTGCACTGCATTGGTTCCACAGTGGAATTCATATTTGAAAATAACACCAAGTTTTTACTTATTCATGATCACAGAAGTTGCTCTATAAAAATTTTGAAAGATAATCACAAGCCAAACAGTGAGTGCATTTGAAAGACTGAGGATATACCTTCATAATAAAAATAAAACAAGAAGTGTCAAATTGAAATGTCAGAGATAGTAACTGTCAAACTTAGTACTTAAGGAAATTGGACATTTCATACTCAGTAACCTAATAGTTCCAGAAATATACTTCATCACTACCACACAGTTTTAGTACTTAATTGTCCTCTAATGTTTAGCCACCATATTAAGTTATTAGGTTTATAAGAGATAAACAAGACTCAGTTCTTGTCCTTAAGGATTTCATAGTCTGGTGAGGGAGACCTAATATTTATGATAAAATGTGGCAAATTATATGTTAGTGCTCTCTATCAACTTTCATTTCTTCAGCTAGAATTTTAATTTTACTTGAAAAAGAGTAACTTTATTAGGTTTATCAAATTATCATTTCATTCCATACACTGAATTAATTTAGGCTAGACTGAAAGACTGACATCTTTACTATCTTGACTTAGGTCAATTTGGGACCCACAAATCTTCATGCCCTCTACTTTGTAACAACAATGGAACCAGAAAATCAGTATTTCAGTGTAAAGTCACATTATGACCTATTCCTTCCTAGTGAAGCAGGGAGATCTGAGAAAACCATGATTAGAAAGAACTTCCTAGTTCTTTCTATACCTTATCATTCTATACCTATCGTTCGTTCTATACCTATCATTTGGGTTTTTTTTTTGTTTGTTTTGGAGACAGAGTCTTACTCTGTCACTCTAGGTAGAGTGCAGTTGTGTCATTGTAGCTCACTGCAACCTCCAACTCCTGTACTCTAGTAGTCCTCCAGCCTTAACCTCCTGAGTAGCTGGGACTGCAGTTGTGAACCACCACCTGGCTAATTTTTCTATTTTTAGTAGTGATGGGGTCTTGCTTTTGCTCAGGCTGGTCCTGAACTCCTGAGCTTAAGGAATCCTCCTGCCTCAGCCTCCCAGAGTCGAGGATTACAGGCATGAACCACTGTGAATGGCCTGCACCTATTTGTTAAACTGTTTTGACATATTTGAGTTAAGTGACAGCTTGCTTGATTATGACCAAATGTTGCATTATACAGGCATGTTTATCTTGCTTGGTAGATCATCTTGAAGAATAGTTGCATTTGGAAACTGTTGAGAGGTTGTTTTTTAATTCCTTGAAAACCTGAGTGGTAGCAATTGATCATTTTAAGTTGAATGTTTTAGCAGTTTTAGTTAAAAATAATGTTATCAATTGAACAGTATTATAGATTTTATTTGCATTCTTCTATTGTGACTTATTTTCTTTAGTATTAAAAATTCAATACATCCTCTTGCCAGCCTTTAAAAAAATTCAGTACAGGTTGGGAGTCGTGGCTTACGCCTGTAATCCTAGTACTCTGGGAAGCTGAGATAGGCGCATTGTTTGAGCTCAGGAGTTCGAGACCAGCCTGAGCAAGAGCGAGACCCCATCTCTACTGAAAAATAGAAAGAAATTAGCTGGACAACTTAAAATATATAGAAAAAATTAGCTGGGCATGGTGGTGCATGCCTGTAGTCCCAGATACTTGGGAGGCTGAGGCAGGAGATTGCCTGAGCACAGGAGTTTGAGATAGCTGTGAGCTAAGGTGATGTGACGGCAGTCTAGCCTGGGCAACAGAGTGAGACTGTCTCAAAAAAAAAAAAAATCCAGTACAATATTGTTTATGAAAGTAAAACCGCATGGCCCTTTGTTTTTAAGATTCTGCAGTGTTCCTAATGTAGTCAGTCTGAGAAAGAATTGATATCCCAAATGGTTGATATTGTCTTGGTTTACAATTTCAACACTTTTCAGGGGAAGAAGAGTTCAGATTACGGATCTTATCCTCCTAATACGTTGTTCTTACAGATTTTTAAAAAGTCTGAATTTGCTGTGCAGTTTTGATTGTCTACTGAAGAATGATTGTAGAGTCTCCTTTTAGGTTTAAAAAAGGGTTAAAAATAACCCCTAGTTTGGTTAGGATATTAATAATTTTACAATTATTTTTTAAAAAATAACTGTAGTTGTCTTTTTCAGGGTAATCACTTTGATCAGTATGAAGAAGGACACTTGGAAATTGAACAAGCATCACTTGACAAGCCTATAGAATCGGTAAGATGATCAGTGCTTAATTTTGGGTCTTAGCCAGTTAGGTAGTATTCGTGTGACACTTGATGTGAATGAAGTTAAAATTTATTAGTAACTGATAGTACAGTTTAGAGCTATTTTCTTGCATGCCCTACAGTAATCAGATATAGTTTTGGATATAACCTAATATTTAATATGTTGAGCAATCAGTCCAAAAATAATCTAGAAACAAATTAGAATTTTATAGAAAAATATCTATTTGGCCTGTATTGATATTCTATTAAAGGTAGCAAGTTTAAGTTTAATGTTTTTGTAATTGAATAAAGGAGTGAAATGTATTTTGATCCTTTAATATAATAGGTTCACCTTTCCTGGGCGGTATACTCATGTATGAAATGTTCCATTAGAAACAGTTAAGAACTAATATGTTTTATTTACCAGACTCTTGTGAAACATGGTAAACTTGGTCTCTGTAGCTTAAGAAATGTCTGGTTTTTGTCAAAAGTTGTTTATTTCTCTTTTCCACTGCTTAGTTTTAGACATCTATGATATCAAGCAGTAGAACAAATAGATTTATTTACCTGGCTCTTAATTTTTAAAAATCTTCTTAATTTTTGAACATTTTCATTTTGAAAAATACATTATTTTAAAACAACACAATCCATTGTTAAAATGTCTAAACTTGTCATTGTCAGCATTTAATATTTGTGATTGTATACATATTTTATAAGGGTTTCAGTTGAGTTATTGGTAAAACTTGAATGGGGGAAAAGTCTAAGAAGGAATCTTAATCTTTGTAACAGTCAAGACAATCCCCACTCCCCCTTTAAGAAACACTATTTTTTTTTCCTAAGGAAAATAAGAAGGCAATTTAGAGAGCACAGATATTTTAACTTACAGTGTTTGTTTTAAAATTGTAACATAGTAAAGGATCAACATATATTTATGTTCCTAATTAGGTTGGTGTTGTGTGTGTTTGTGTGTGTGTTTAGATGTTTATAGAAATTTACACAACTTGGGGTGTTCGACATTTTTCTTCCACAGCAGTTGGCCCATATTAGCTAAGCAGCCATGATCTGGTTTGTATTGCACGGTCTGCCTTTTTTTAATTTCTTCTCTAGGGTTTCTTTCTCCCCCAACTCCCCTTCTTATTTCTGTCCTTCTGGTCCAGTGAACACTGCATATAGTACTTTCTGTCTTAATGTGCTGGCATGATGCTAGACTTAGGCATGGCAGTACTTGATGACGCATGTGATAATGCTGCAGAGGGAGAATTCACATTTGATGTTTTGCTGAATGTCCAGTTTTGTGTTTTGACGTAAGGAGAAAATGCCACGCCCATTTTGCTAACTTAAAAATCACTGAAGTTTGTGCCTTATTCCACATTATCTTGTGGATTATCACAAGGCAGAATTTTGTAGTGAAATCTGTAGGTTAGATCAGTATCTTGTACTTGAAAAATAATTTAATTTTTCCTCTTTAAATATTTTTTTGGGTGGCCGAAGTTTAAGAACAGAATTGTCAGAAGCAAGGCCCCAATACCATATTGTGCCAGGTGCATGGTTAGTTAATATTCTTATACAAGCTATAGTTTTGTGGATATGCTGACTTGACAGTAGCAGGAAATTTAATTAGACTAAATTTGCAGCCGAGTATTCATTATTACTATACTCAACAAAGATTTTTAAAAACCACTAAATTAAATATTTAACATTTTTAACTCCCTCTTTTAGGGCTATGTTGAAAGATTTTTAGAAAACTCATTCCTGTGGCACATGAGAATAATGCTATTTTACCTCTCACAGTGTCCAGGATTTTTTCCATCACGTATCATAGGAAGAACACTCAGAAACAGTCTGATTGGCCGGGCATGGTGGCTCATGCCTGTAATCCTAGCATTCTGGGAGGCCAAGGGGGGCGGATTGCTCGTGGTCAGGAGTTCGAAACCAGCCTGAGCAAGGGCAAGACCCCGACTCTACCATAAGATAGAAAGAAATTAATTGGCCAACTAATATATATAGAAAAAATCAGCCGGGCATGGTGGTGCATGCCTGTAGTCCCAGCTACTCGGGAGGCTGAGGCAGGAGGATCGCTTGAGCCCAGGAGTTTGAGGTTGCTGTGAGCTAGGCTGATGCCATGGCACTCACTCTAGCCTGGGCAACAAAGCGAGACTGTCTCAAAAAGAAACAGTCTGATTGAGTAAAATCATTGTTGAGTAATCTCAATGAATAGGAGTAGAATTGACATATGCCTTATTCATTAAATAGTGTGTCTTTTCCATTTAAAATAGCAAATGGTATAGTACTCAGACTGGATATTTAATTTTCTTATAAATAAATGTATGCTTAGAAATGTATATTATATTAATATATTATACTTCTAATTAAAATTTACTCCTGAAATAAATAAATATATGCATTATTTGTGAAGTGGTAGTTTAGGTAGTTGTAGAAGGAACTTCATAGCCTACATTGTGTTAGATAGAAGTAGGACACACAAGATAGGAAGGATCTTATTTCTGCTACCTAATAAAATTTAAAGTTTTAAAAGAAACTCCTATAATGGTTGGCATAAAATTAGGATAGTGTTCCCTCTCCCCCCACTGATGCCCCCTCCAAGAAAAGAAGTCCCCTATCACCTCAGGAATGCCCACCAAATAATAAGTAAATAATGAATTATATGGCTGGCTGGCTATGTTGAGCTGTTTTGTTCTTGGGGGAAATGGCGTTGCTTCTAACACAGTAAAGAGTCTGCCGAATCAAAATCTTTCTCTGCAGCAATATCTATTGAGAGGTGCTGACTGTTTTGCTACAGCATGCAACTCAAAAGTGGCTGGAAATATGCAGCTTTGGGAGTCTACAGATCATTGCAGGAGCTAAAGGTCTAGTCATTTTTTTTTTTTTAACAAAGGTAATCTGCAGCAGCTGGTAACCGTGGAAGTCTCTGCACAGGTTTGTGCCAAGAATATGCCTGTGTGAAGGGTTATTGTGAGTATAGGATTAAGGTCTTTTTGTTTTGTAGTAGGGTAAATTTGATGCAAACCAACAGGATGGGAAATGAAAAACAAAGATATAATAATGTATTATGCTTTTAGTGGACTTCTAAAGCCTAGATTTGTTAGTGAGATGATATAAGTATTTCAATTTCAGTAGGCAGTTGTTGAAAACACATCAAAATCCATCATTTGTAAAGTATTTAGTAATATTTGTTTTAAAGTTTTATTTTTCCTTCTCTATTTCAACCAACCATATATCTTTCAGTAAGATTTCTGCTCAAGAATTGACCACCTTTCTAAGAAAATTATGAAAGAATTGCTAGACAGCTTGATTATCTGAATTAAAGAGAAGTTGGAAAGTGTTAACATTTTATCCTTATCACAAAAACTTTTTGAACTAGAATTTTAAAAGTCATTATTGCTTTAAGAGATTTTTAGGTCCTAGCCAATATAATTCTGACCTCCACATACTTAAAGATAAAATATTTAGAAAGCTTGATCTACAGCCATAGTCCAGGCTAGGATTCCATTATAGTTTCAAGAATTGGTTGATGTTATTTATGGTCCATCATGACCTTTATCAGACTTAGAAGATGAGAAATCAGATGAAAGAATGATTTTAAGCTACATAGAAGACAAAATGCCTGCATCATTGACTTAAAATATGTTGCCATTTTTGCAGTTGAAAGTACAGCTACCCATCAGCCATTAGTTGGTCTTTGCTGTACCTGATCAAAATCCTGTATTTATAGTTGTCAGGTTAACGGAACAGGTTTTAAAAATTAGTGTAAGTTTTCAAACTCCAGTCGCTGATGTTTAGTTTTGTCATCTAGGGATTTAGAAGTATTTGTATATTTGGGTTTTGTCATGTTGCATATCTGTTTAGATCTGTGGACTCCATTAGTTCCAAACTGTAACTCTATAAGACTGCTGATTTGATATTTAGCAGTGACCATATGTGGACTGCACTATAAATATTGTGCTTCTTGGAGCTGAATGGTGTAGCATTACTATATGGCTTTTCTCTCTAGTCCTCATTGTGTCATCTGTAGTAAGCTATAGATTTTTTTGTTTTGGGACTTTTTACAACTTGTTGTTTGCATGGGTTCACCTAGTAGCATTTGGTTCTTGCTTATAGAATCTTTAATACACAATCAGCAAAGCTTACAATCCACTCAAGAGACTTACATTTTTGTCACTGTTGAAAATGGGATAAATGGTATAAATTGAATGTGGCTGTCAACTAAAAGAAAATTCAGTATGGAATTAATATTCATCCATTCATTGACATACCTGTAGTATAGTTTTCTCTTGAGATGTGATATTTTGTTTCCTACTATAAAAACTTGTAGTCAGCTCCATACAATAAAATTTTATCTGTGTTTTGGCAGGCTCCCATCATATAAATTGGTGGTGCTGTAACCAAAATGGTCATTGTTACTCTGGTGGTATACAACTTCATGGAGCAGAGAGGTGTTCCTGGAAAAGTTTCTAGTTGATATTTAAATAATAAATAAAAATGTTGAGGAATAGCTGAAACAGTTAATAATGAGGTATTTTTAATTGCTGATATTATATTTTTAGCATATAGTTAGTTTATAATATACATTTCTTGCCTTCAAAGGTCTTCCCATTTAAAAATTATATCCCTCTTTCACATTTAATAGACAGGAACAAAGGATAAAGTGTAACATTTAAGAGCAGAAATAGAAAAAAATAAAGGCCAACTGAGGTAATCTAAGTGAAAAAAGTTTAGATTTTCAGCTCAGCGTTGTGGTTTAACCAGAATTAGAACTTCATTTGCAGCTAAAGAACATACTACACTGCCACCATTTTGGTGTCTTGAGCAGAGAGAGTAACAAATAGATGGGAACTCTTTATGAATTATATAGAAAATCAGCTTTTTGCTTCCCACTCTTGGTCAAAATTCAGTTGCCTTATTAATTTAAAATTAGAATTTCCTCACAATTCTTCCATCTACATTTAAATTATAAACAGCCTACCACTATCATGTATCTTTGTTAGTTATAAACCAGATTGCTTTATAAAAGAAAAAAATTTCCATAAGTTGTTTATGGTTGTATGAGATTATAATTAACACATTAACTGCCAGGTTAGTTGTATTTAACGCACACTAGTTTTCTTTTGTTTTTGTTTTTGTTTTTTTTTGAGACAGAGTCTCAACGTTGTTACCCAGGCTAGAGTGCCTTGGCATCAGCCTAGCTCACAGTAATCTCAAACTCCTGGGCTCAAGCAATCCTTCTGCCTTAGCCTCCCGAGTAGCTGGGATTACAGGCATGCACCGTCATGCGTGGCTAATTTTTTCTATATATTTTTAGCTGTTCAATTAATTTCTTTCTATTTTTAGTAGAGATGGGGTTTCACTTTTGCTCAGGCTGGTCTCGAACTCCTGAGCTCAAACGATCCACCCGCCGATCCACCCACCTTGGCTTCCCAGAGTGCTAGGATTAAGGTGCCCTGCCTTAACTCACACTAGTTTTGAGCCCAGGGTCTCATGAAGCATATGTAAGTCACAGTTCTCTTTACCATGGTAGCCTGGAGAACTGTTTTTCAAGGTGCATATAATGCAAGCACAGAAAACAGTAAAAAACAAAATAAAAACAAAAAAACCATTTTCATTAAATGATGACAGATTGTTTTGTTTTCCAAGTTTTTATTCTGTTTTTATAATAAAACACCATGGCCCCAAGGAAAATAAAATTTTTTCTAGTGTGGCAATGTGTTAAACCCCAGATTATATATTGTATTTAAAAACCAAAAGTCAAAGATTTATAACCACTGGTAATAGTGACTGATTTCAGAGTTACTATTTAAAAAAAATTTTTTTAGTTACTATTTTAGAAGTAAATTTAGTGCTCATTGTCTAAATTACTTGTGTGAGCGAAAAGTTACTTGTGCCACCTTACTGTTATAAATAGCATCCATGAGAATAATTGGCAAAAATCACAACCCTAAACAGAATAGATGGCTTATTTTCTACAAGTGGGTGATTGAGTTCCTTGTGGTTGTGCAGTGAAAGTTTTCATCATTTCAGAGGTAGACAAGTCTGGTTTGTTCTACTTTGTTATAAGTTATTTTGGTGTGTCTTACTTGTGTTATCCATCCTCCTTAAGCCTACTGAGTTTTTGATGAGTGTTTATAAAACCTTTTTTCTTTTCTTTGGTAGGAAAGGGGACCATACTGAATACTAGCCCTTTTTGCAGAGTCACAGAACTGCCTTTTTTCCTCCAAAGGCAGGTAGTTTGAAGTGATAGGAATGATCCAGATTTTTTTGTATTAGTCATTCATTTACTCTAAGAAGTTGGTGATGGGAAGAGATTCTGGGAGATGTTTCTGTTGCCTTTATTATAATCAGAAGAGCTTAGAGTGGCATGTTAAATATTTTAATATAGCCACCAACATTTCAATGCCTATTCATACTTGGGAAAGTGGATTTGATTAAAGAACAGTTTTAACCTAAACTTTTGGAAGAGAAATGCCATTACCATTTTGTATCAATAGCTTTTTTCTGAAAAGGTGACAGCCATCCTCTTGAGTGGTTTTGTAAAAGTGGTGCTAATGTGTATAACCCTAAAGTTTTCTTTTTTTCTCCCTCTCCCTTTAACATTTGCTTTTCCTTTCACTGTTGTCAGTCACAACATGCTGCTCTTGAATCTCTCAGCTGGTCTTGACTCGTGAATTTACTTATGCTTTCAGTCTTCTTTAATAAATACATTACTTGCAAGCAGTGAATTGAAAACAAGACAAAAAAAAAAAAAAACGACCATTAGTGATTGGACAGTTTCTTACTTTGTGTTACATTTAACTGTTCTTTTGACAGCCCAGTTTTTAAAGCCAGGTTCGTATGGAAATGCTTTCACTCCACTTGCACTGCTTTTGGAAATAGCATACTGCTTCATCTGTCTGTTTATTTTAGTGCATTCATAATATAACACAGTCAGCATAATGTCTCATCTCCACTTAGTGAAAGATAGAGTTTTCTTTAGAACAAAAAACCAAAACCAAAATGGGGTGGGAGCAACAATTTTTGTCAGCATTGTTTAATATCTAAATCTTCATGCCAAGTATAGTTACAACATTTGTCTGTTAAGAGATCAAACAATAACTTAATCAACCATATGCTCTTAGAATCATTTTGCTATCCCTATCCTTCCAGAATTACTCAGTTGTAGGAATTATGATATGAAATAAGGATTTTATGTACAGGTAAGTTTGTTTTCATAGTAGTAAAATAAGGGCCTCTTTCTTTACTTTTCCATTTTCTGCTAACTTATATTAAGACTTTTAATCTTTTTTTAATAATAAAGTTATTTGTAAATAGTTAAGACACTAAATAAGGGAATGCTTTTACTGGCAGTTCAATTGGGAGAGGAGAAGGCATGAAGCATTAGCAGCTGCAACACTGTTGGATTAAATTTTTGTGATGTCTAATAATGTAGAAGTCATCACTTGGGATTACACGTACCATAATGTTGCTAATTATTTCAGTTCTTAGCAGAAATAATTTGTAGTGAACTTTTTGCTCTATGATGATTATATATATTTTTTAAAAATAATGTTTTATTTTAAAAACAAATTTTTCATTATACTTTGCCTTTACTTTTTGTTTTTTACAAAGTGTCCTGATTTTCCCCCCAGTGATGAAATAATCACCTGCTCATCCTGGTTTTCTAGTTTGCATGCCATAATAAACTTGTCCTTTTTTCAAAACAACAACAACAACAAAAAAAACAAAAAACAAAAAACACAAAGCATTGGGCAGGCTTAATAGTCTTCTAACTCTCTGTCAGAGAAAATCACAGTAAAATGATGTTTTTCCTCTGTGACATCAGAGAGCATTTTATCATTGAGTATGGAATTGGAAGACAGTTTAATATGAAAGATACTTAGAGTTTTGTTTTGTTTGAGACAGGGTCTTGCTCTGTTGCCTGGGCTAAAGTGCAGTGGCATCATCATAGCTCACTGCAGCTTCACATTCCTGGCCTCAAGTGACCCTCTTGCCTGAGCCTCCCAAAGTGCTAGGATAACAGGCATGGGCCAGTATGGCTAGGCTGAGATACTTGGTTTTAATGCAGAGATTTGTGGTTTTGTTAGCTTAATTTTCAAATGGTGACACTAGATTATACTATAAATTACATTTTAATACATACAGAATACTTTGTGTTTGGGATTTTTCAGTGTTGCCTTTGGATGACATTTTCTCTGTTAACACTTTTTCTGTTAACAGTAGTTGTTTTAGCTTTATCTTCTTGGTGCTTCACAATAACTATAAAAAGCAAAGACTTGGACAAAGGGCTGCAGATGTTTTTGATACCTTAACCCCTTAAATAAACGCTGATATTTAATTGTTGTTTCTGGTGTTTTTTTCATACAATTTACATTGAAATGCCTTTTCCAGTGTCCTCCTGGGAAGATGAGACATTATGTATGTTGGTTTTTCCCCCCTACATGCACTAATGGTTCTTTACTGTTAACTTATTGCTAGGCCTGTTTCATTCTAACATCTTAGCATTTTTGTTAGACTACATGTTGAAATGCATCACTCAGTCTGTGCTTGAGCTCATTTTATTTTTCTGTTTAATCAACTTAATTTCTTGTTTTACTAACCTCACTGTTTTTTCAGTTTAATATTGGCTGCATGCTAGTTAAATATTTATATTATATATATTTATATATATAAAAAAACCAATCAAGTCTAGCCTGGATTTTGCTCTGATTGTTTTTTCATTTCTAGTGGTGGGGCAGTCTTACACTTACACCTTCCTATGTATCATGAAAGCCTGACACATAAAATAACTAAAACACAATGTAGATTTTCTTTTTGAAAAAAAAAAAAATCTTAAAGTGGTGCTGTTTAGGTGGTGGATATGACTGTATTAAGTACCTTGATCTTATGCATTTTAATGTTAGTTTTAAAACTTCATAAATGTATTCTACCCTTTTCCCCTTCCCTTTTTTCTCCTTTTTAAAGTGTTATGTATAAAAGTTGCCCAGCACACCATCAGAAAGGACCCTTACCCCCATATGTTCTTTCCATATAAAATACTAGCCAGCATTTCTTTTTACATTAATGTCCCTTTTATTGGGCACATTTTACCCTATTATTAGCACCTTTTGCATGCATATTTGTAGAATTATCTCTTGCTCATCACTTGTTTAAATGTCACTAGGAAGGGAAGAATATATTATTGGAATATTTTTGGTTTGTCTCTCTGTTCTATCTGTCAGGATAATATTGGACACCGCTTACTCCAGAAACATGGGTGGAAGCTGGGCCAGGGATTGGGAAAATCTCTTCAGGGTAAGTTTTTAAAATTTACCAAAGGAAAAGAAAGAAAGAAAACTATATTTCTGATTCAGATCTTATACCTGAGTTTATTTGTTGTCTTTTTTAAAAGTGTTTGGGTTTTTCCCCCCTGCCTTTTCCTCCCTAGAATAGTCTATTTTTCCTATAGCCATATTTTAAGTCTCTGTTAAACCTCCATATTTGCCAGTAATTTGCAAGAGTAAGCTGCTATGTCATTAAAACTTTCAAGTCGAACATATTTTGTGTGGCTCAACCTGTTTTAAATTTTTTTGGTGGAAGTGATAGATGGGTGGAGTAAAAGGAATACATAGTATCAGAATGTGCTTTCTTTGTGCCATTTAGTGATGTTGTATTGTGGCTTCAGTATTATAAAGAGAATCATTCAACAGCAGATTTTAACTTTCATCCTTCTAAATTCTCCTCGAAGCTGGTGATTGCCCCGGCTCTTTCGCTCTTTAGTGAAAATTAACCCACTGGAGACATAAATGAAAGCAGAGATTTCCTAGAACTCTCGGAGCAGAGGAGCCATTTCTAGGGTTCAGATCAAGCTCTGGAAAATGTATGGCTTAAAGTTTCCATTGTATTTATTATTCCGTTTAACTGTACCAGTCATTTGGATAAAAACAGAATACTAATATTTCTGCTTCTGACTTCTTTGTTGGATGGAAACCAACCAACTACATTCACTTTTAGCTCTCTCAAATTGAAGAGATACTGTTTGTTTTTTGCAGATGTGATGTGACTGCTACCTCAGAAATGATGGGGAATCATTGTGCCTTTATATACATCTAGTCATGGAAGGTCTCATTGTTTAAGGGGACTTTTGGGGAGAGGTGTGCTGTTGACTAATTCTTTGAATTTTGGAAATGGATTTTCACAATTTGAATGTGGAAGTCTAATCAATACCAGTATGTTAAGATGAACAAGCAGACAAGGCATGAAATAGGATATTTCAGTCATTAAAATTGTACTTTTAAAATTGTACTGCTGCAAATTCTGTTCAGTGGTGACACACAGGAGATGCTCAATAAATATATTTTGATGGAATATTTATTACTAAGCAATAACCTATTCTTTTGGGGAGATAGATTTGATTAGCTTTAAACTTGTTTTCCAAGTGGCACAAGGACTCTTTGCAAGCAATACGAAGAATACTATATGACTAAGAACAATTTATATAGCATAGACCACAGATTTTATGGAGTCCAGAAAAGAGATAGGGTAACCAGGATTGAAATAGAGATGGTTTTTAAATATAATGTGTCCCAGTGTTTTGCATAGTTGGATTGTATTGAATTGAGTGGAGATGATTGCTCAGAAGGAGGTCATGAGACTAAATTTACTCTTCCCTACAGTTTAAAAGACCCATTCTATTCAAGGATGCCCAGGAATATTGTTGATTGTTACTCTCTTTGTTTAGCCACACAGGATGGGTGAATTTCATAAGGGCTAGCAAATCTGTTTGAATCCCAAGACTTTTCAGTTTAAGCATCAGAGACTTCAGAGTACAACTAGAACTTGCAGAGGGGGAGGGGGTGGGGGAGAGAGTTTTTAAGAAAGGATAGGTAAATGGATACTCACCTATTTTGGATGATCCAAAGTTGTTACTAATTTTTGTTTTTAAGAAGACTTTAGAATTTTGGTTCTCTTTAAGCTTTGAGCTTCTTGAAAAGAGAAATTAGGTTTTATTCATATTTTACCTGCATGGTAATGGACATATATGGTAATGGGCATATATAGTAAGCACTCAATAACTCAAATCTGTTATTCATTTAAAAATACAATGGCCAGGTGCAGTGGCTCACACCTGTAATCCTAGCTCTGGGAGGCTGAGGCAGGAGGATTGCTTGAGCTCAGGAGTTCGAGACCAGCTTGAGAAAGAGCGAGACCCCGTCTCTACTAAAAATAGAAAAAATTAGCTAGTCAACTAATAATGAAAGAAAAAATTAGCCGGGCATGGTGGCGCATGCCTGTAGTCCCAGTTACTTGGGAGGCTGAGGCAGGAGGATTGCTTGAGCCTAGGAGTTTGAGGTTGCTGTGAGCTAGGCTGATGCCACGCCACTCACTCTAGCCCGGACAACAAAGCAAGACTCTGTCTCCAAAAAAAAAGAGGAAAAATACAAGAGAAATTTGAAGCATATTTGAAGATTTTTAAAAAATTGTGGTTAAAAAGATAACAGAATTTACCTTCTTAACTATTTTTAAATGTACAGTTCAGTAGTGTTAAGTATATTCACTTTGTTGGTATGAAGTCCATCTGTTTTAAATGGCTCTTTACCTTTCAAAAAGAATGGAACCTTATTCTGTTTCCAATATTAATGGTCAAGTTTGTTTTATAAATGGCTCGCTATTTCTTAGTGTCAGATTCAACAGTATACAGGCATCATACTGGTTTCTTTCATGTAGCTCTTTCTGTAACACCCACATGATTTGACCTAGAATATAACCACATTTATGGCATATTGAGGCAATTTATGACAGATTTCTTTGACTGTATTAAACCTTTGCTATAAATAACCACCGAGGAAAGTCCTGTTGCTCCCAGTGTAAGTGATAATGCCTTCTTGGTATTTTGTAAACTAGTCACTGCATGTAATTTCTAGGCTTACGCTTTGTATGTTCTTTGCGTTTATTTGAGTTTAGGACTCTCTAACATATATAACATGCAAGCATCTACTAAAATTTAAATCTAGTCTCTTTGGGGTTTTTTGTCAAAGTTTTAAAAATTATTTCCATTCATGCAAACCTTTTGCAAACAGTTCCAGTCCTTGGGGCTCCAGTGCATGTATCTAGTCACTGGATAGATTGGGGAATAGGGCATGCTGGCTCGGAATGAAGTTATCTGTCAGAGTATATAAAATTATACCTTGAAAACTGGGTTTATTTTTGTACTTGAACTTTTCCTCCCTTCCTCTCTTCCTTCTTTTTTTTTTTTGAGATAGGGTCTTTCTCTGTCTCCTGGGCTAGAGTGCAGTGGCATCACCGTAGCTCACTGCAACCTCATATTCCTGGGCTTATGTGATGCCATTAACTTTTCTCTTTTTTGTACAGACAGGGTCTCGCTCTTGCTTAGGCTGGTCTTGAACTCCGGGGCTCAAGTGATCCTCCCATCTTGGCCTCCCAAAGTGCTTGGATTATAGGTGTGAGCCATCACACCTAGCCAAATTTTCTTATTATTACCTTTTGTTCTCCCTTAGTATTTATTAAATATCTTAGAAGTTTTAAGAAAAGAACTTCTATTGTATATGGCAGATTAATGATAGTATTAAAAAAATAAAAGACCTATAGTAGAAAAGATATATTGACAAGGTATCTGAAGGAAACAACATAAAGCCCTGTTATTGTGAAATATTATGGACAATTGCTTATTGTAGAGGCAAAAGATGTGTTTAATTTAGAATTAAGCAACAGTAAGTGATAGTTGTATTTTGTGGCAGTTAGACTGGATTCGGTTCTGGAAATTGTTTTATAACCTCCTGGCAGCTTTGAAATATAATGGACTGTAGCTCCAAATCTTTATTTTGCTATAAAATACATTTAGTCAGTAGATGTAGCCCAGGAACGGTGCCTGAGCTTTCTTTGTTACCTTGTCTAAGGGTTATTTGATGACATGGCTCCTTCTTTGGTCGCAAACAAAAGCTTAGCCCCTGGGAAAAATGAATGGGTTCTGATGTTATTTCATATTTCACCCTATCTAGAAGATTCAATCAATACATTTAGACAACCAGCAAATATTTACTGACAAAACAATATATTCTACTTATACCAGGCATTAATAGCGTAAGACAGACAGAGTGAATAAGATATGATTCCTGATGTTCGAGTTTATTTTCCAGGCCCCCAAGTCTTGCTTTTTTTAACTGAATAGACCTTTGAAGGTTTCTTGAGATCAAGGACCATGTTTTACTTCTATATATTCCTTTCATGCTTAAAATGAAGTATGTGATCATTCTGAATATTTAGTTGACAGATTGCTTCAAGCTCCTTGAAAGTAGGGATTCTCATTTATTTTTGTGTAAAAGTAGTTGGTATAGGGTATGAAGACGGTGTGTTGACAACATTTAGAAATATAAGATCTGGACTGGCTCACTCCTGTAATACTAGCATTTGGGGAGGCTAAGGCGGGAGGATCGCTTGACCTCAGGAGTTAAGACCAGGCTGAGCAAGAAAAAGATACCCTTCTCTACAAAAATAGAAAACTTAGCCTGGTGTGGTGGCACCCACCTGTAGTCCCAGCTACTTGGGAGGCTGAAGCAGGAGGGTTGCTTGAGCCCAGGAGTTTGAGACTACGGTGAGCTATGATTACACCACTGCATTATAGCCTGGGTGCCACAGCCAGACCCCATTTCTTACCAAAAAAAAAAAAAAATTATTAGGATGAGCAATGGTAGAATTATTTTAAAAATAATTTTTGAGTTAGAAAAGCTTTTCCAAGTTTAACCCAAAACCTAGAAGCCATTAAGAAAAGGATAACTTTGGCTGTATTACATCATAAACTGAGTCAAAAAACATATCTGTGATATCTTATAATCTAAGGACTTTTCTTCATGTATTTATCAGTTTGAGAAATACTTATCACAAAGTATACAAAGTAAATAGAAAAGGGTAGATGAACACTATGTACAGAAAAGTAACCCTTCTTGTAGTAAGAGATGTGTTTATTAAACTACGAGATAATCACTTGAATAGGAAAAGATAAAAAAAAAATTAGCCTAGTCAGATTAGGGGAAAACATGTAGTTAGTTATATTATAACAATGAGAATATAAATTGGTAAAACCACTACAGAGAATAATTGGATAAAAATTAAAATGCATGTATCCTTGAATCCAACAATTCTAATTATCTAGCCTAAACTTAAATTCTTGTAATGCAAAAAATAATATATGATTGAGGGTATTCATTATATCAAAAGATTAATATATAATTAATATAACAAAAGATTGGAAACAGTCCACCACATGTCATTGATTCTAAGACATCTTTTTTGTATTT